CCCCAAAACCCCAAAACCCCACACAACAGTATATACAATTTTTAATATAATAATATAAAATCAAGGTAAATACAAATAATTATCCCCTTCTTCTTTAGCATATTCTTTTTCATAAATCTCCTCCATGCACTTATCTATACTTTCTTATACTACCTCTATTCCATCCTCTAAGTACTTCTAATATATTTTCTAAAACAACTCCTTTTTGTTTATCTTAAATGAGGACTTGAGGACTCTCATTATATAAGCTTAAATCTTAAATTTATGTTCTTTATACAGATATTTTACCACTTTTTTGGCTTCATTAGAGTTGCCACTAACATCATCGTTTGCTGAAGTGCCTCTTAGATGTTTGTTTCTATAGAACTTGACTATATCTTTGGATGAAATATAACAATTATTCTACTTTCCTAGTTATGATAAATCACTTGATAGCTAAATATTATCCTGAGTAATCTCTAGGGTTTTATTGTTAAGAAGGGGCATTAGGAAAGCCTTAAAAATATCATCATCGATCTAAAGCTATTTGTCTCTTAAACTAGAGATTTCATGCTATTTTCTCTCATTAAAGTGCAAAAGCATAGAAGCCTGAGTGGTGTTAACTAAAATCTCATACTTTTTATCTAATATCAATTCAACTTTACCAATAGCAGTGAGAAATTACAAATTCCTATTTTTAAACTTTGCTTTATATGACTCTTGGAATTAAACTGTAAGATTCAATAGCTGTGGGTGCATGATTTGCTGTTTTAAGGGATTTTAGACTTCATTTATCCACATAGCAGTAGGGAAAGATATTACTTGAAGTTGATTAGCCAAAGAGTGCTTAATGTCACTTTTGTCTTCCTCTTATTCATGTATTATAAGATTTAGTTTGTGAATAAAATTCTTGCCAAAACTCTACTAAAGTAATTAGCATAGCAACTTTTCATTCTTGACATTAAACTGCTATTAGGAAGTGGAAGCCTGACCTTCTATAACTCTTTAGATTAGTGATTTCCTTAATTCAAATTCTAATTTGTCCTTATCGACTGAATAACATAGCGCCTAAAGTACCATTTCTTCATTTAGTCTGTCTAGATTGGATTCAAAGAACTATGATATTTCTGAGGCTTGGTTATACCCTCTCAAAATAGAGTGATTTGTTTGGATTACTAAATAAATTAGTTAAAAAATTTACAACTTACAAAAACTTAAAAACATTGGTGCGAGTTGTGATTAATCCAAATCTCTCATGAATTTATCTTAAAGTTCAAGCAACTTGCCTAATACTACTGAATTTTCTACTGAACTTAGTTTTTTCACATATATTTTATACTGCTCAACGAATATACTAAAATATCTCTGAATAAGACTTTCATCTATAGTATATCGCTTCAATAAATCAATAATCCCTTGACTGTTCATTTGCTCTAAAAGTTCTAATAACTTAGCATCAAGCACTTTGAATTCTATGTTTGCTACTTTAGCTTGGAATAGCACTCTGATGAATTGCCTCATATACATTGATTTATCGTTTAACTGCTATCTCAAAATTTCATAAATATCGCAAACTTTATCTTATATTTCACTGAATTGCTGCAACCACAGTGACTAGACTGTTTTCCTTAGATTAGCAGAAGTTAAATCGAACAGTGAAACAATCAATAAACTGAATTGCTATATAAGCTACTCAAAGTTATAAAGATCATCAAAAGCGAATCTGAGCAGCAAATCTATAAAATCTTTTAAAAACTTTTCAAAGGATTAAAGTTCATTTGATTCAATGTGCAAAAATAAATCTCTCATAATACCATTAGAGCACAAGACATTCTTTTCTATGAACTAAGTATTTTCAATTAGTTTTTATAATCCAACTGCATACATGATAGTATGCTCATCATCATCTCTACCATCATCAGCTGACTGCTTGTATACCTTTGTCTTGAGGCTCTTCCAATTGTCAAGAGTACACATGTTCATGACTTTTACGAATTCTTATTTCATATTTGAGAACTTCAAGTATTGCTTCATGCTATCAACAATTGATGAGTGCTCCTCCTTTTTAGTAATATCGCATGCAAGTAATGTCTAGAAGGATTGGTAAATGAGCTTTTGAAAATCTTTATACTAGTCTGCAGGTAAATCAAGTCTTTGAGGTATAACTTGCTATGAAAGAAGAGTGCTCGTTGTTTCTACAATTCCAATTTCATACGTTGATCTCTACACTATTTTAAAACTGCTCATTTTGAATTATTATAAATTTATTGCTTAGAATTGAATGTAATTTAAGAATTTTCTTATGGGGTTTTGGGGTTTTGGGGTTTTGGGG